ATCCCACGGTTGGATTTTGGCAGAGAATTATCCCTTTGCAATCGGGGTGCCTGCAGAGGTGAGCTGGAGTTGAGACCCCTCCTTGCTCACCTGGTTCTCCAGCCCCCTGGCGCCCTGGCAGTGGGGGGCACTGGAGGCAGTGGGCACCAGCTGTGTGCCCTCTGTCCTGCTTCTCAAGTGTGTGCCTGTCCAGGAAGGCCAGAATCTGGGGGGTCCTCTCCCCATTAGCCCCCCTCAGGTGGCTTCCTTCTCACGCATGCCCATGCTCTCAGCGGCATGGGGTGACCAGATCTCAAGGCCAGATTTTAGGTAAGGGAAGTGGTTTCTTGCTGGGCGCTTTGGGAGGAGCCTTGCCTTCCTGGTCTCGTGGTGGACTTCATAAGCCGGAGTCCAGAAGGGGGGGGGGGGGCCTGAGGCACTGGACTTGTCTCTCTGTCCTTCCTCTGTTTTTCCCCTCATCTCTTTACTCCTTCAAATAAAACATTTTATAAGGGGAAAATTCTTCCCTTACCTAAAATCCTGAGATCTGGTCACCCCATGTCGTGGAGACCCCGGCAAGAGCTTCATTCATGAGCCTCTGGTCTTCCAGAAGGGCCCGGTCTGTCCATTCATGACCAGGGCCTTCAAGTAGCGCTTTGTGAGCGGCAGGGAGCTCCTGCTACGTGGACTTCCCTAATGCACATGCGCGCACACAAGGCCAAGGCCTTCCTCCGCACCCGCCTCCCCTTCCTCTGCAAGGGTCGATTTTATGCTCTAAGGGAAACGGGGCCGGGGGGCCGGGGGACAACCTTATAGGAATTTTAGGCCGATTCAGCATTTTTTCTGGGATCGCTCCAAAAATTCCCCAAACCATAATAAAAAGGAAAAAATTTGTGAGCAGGCAGCTGATTAGTTAGCTTTTTACAACACGGCGTTTCTTTTTGATGCTTAAAATCGCGCAAATACAGTTTTAAAACAAGCCCCTGTGCAGCGTTGGAGGAGGGAAAACGCCGGAAAGGCCATAAAGCCGAGGGGCGTTAACGAGGGGCGAGGGGCGGCGGGCT